TAACGTCGGGAGGAGAGAACCCCACAGGCTCGGTCCTCTGCTTGTCTTGATGAAGTAAAGCTACCAACATGCACTGCATTTGAATATAACTGCCTACATGAGTTTTGGAGATGTTGTACAGGAAGGATGCTAAAAATTGCTCAAGTTTTTTGCTTTGAGGACTTTTCCACAGGCTTTGATTGAGAGGCTCTCTCTTTTTTGGAGACGAAAACAAGAATGCACACATTCAGTTGGTCTATCCTGTTCCAAACCAGGTCTGCACTGGTTGATTTGGTCGCAAATTGTAAGCACATCTCGCTGAAACCGTCAACATAGGAAGTGCTTATCAATTCGTATATGGCACAGATAATGGCAGTTCAATGGACCTTTTGCTTCCGCTTAGAACAAACAACTTGCAGAACGTTCTTGCACAACACACAAGTGTTAAAACAAGGTATTTCAGGTTTTACACACGAGGCAAAGCTACAACACACTACAGTATTTAACGCACACCAATAGGAAAAGTTCCTAAAAATACTCATGCAGTTTTTGTGCCATGGGATAGGTAATGGCTATTTCGCAGAAATAGATCCAACTGGCTCCATTGGAGCAGCAGTATAAATATTCAAAATAGAAGTAATAATAGGCCCTGATGTGAAACTTTTTTTTTTTTCCTTCCCCAAATCTGTCCCTTCTGTCAGCAAGGAAACACTGTGCTTAGGAGCAACTGTATCTTGCTACAAGAGTATAGCGGTGTGTTTGTGGGGTGGATTTTAGTAAAATGTGCCACATTGTTGCTAACATTGTTTGATTTAAGGAAGTATTTTAGGCATTTTAGTGGTTATTATTATTATTAATCTCATTACCAACAACAACAACAAAAAGAAACAACAGCAACAAAAAACCAACAGGAAGGTACAGTGGGCTTCCTAACGCAAGAGGACTTCCAGCGGGCATAGTTACGAGAAGGCTCAAACAACAGGCTGCATAGCTCAACAAGCAGCAACGCAATTGTTTTCCAGAATGAAAAATGATCACGCAGGCATGTCACTGACTCTCTGTACTGCCTCTCCCTGGACCCTTCCTTCTTCTTGCTAGGGATCCACAAGCACGCTTTGTTCACCAAGACCAGCGGTACGCAGCTTTTTCCACTGGACTTCCTCAACATGCACAGTGCAACGGCTGCCAGTGCCTCCACACACTTAGTGTAACGAAGAAAGAAAATCAGGTGCTGAGCTGAATGGAAACCACAGGGTGTAAATATTCTGATTTACAACATTTTGCACAAAGAGAATTAAACTGAAAAAATCACTTCCAAAAGTGCAAATGAAATAAAAATTGGCTTTCGGTCCGTGAATGGGACCGAATTTTTTTTTTTTAGTTGGATTTTTTTTTTCTTGATATAGTTTAGTGTTTGGTGTTTTGGGTTTTTTCCCTTCCTTCCTTTTACGTAGGGTTTGCTGTGCCTTTACTACCAATATTTGCCACTGTTTGTACCATAGACAAAAACATTCGCCTAGCTGGTAGTATCTTAATACATTTCATAGTAGAACATATACAAGAAAGAGGAAAAAACATACCAAATGGATCAGAAGTGATCAGTGCTTAAAGTAAATACAAGAGCCAGCACTGGCAAGAATCCACAGTATCAATACATACAAATGAAGCTGTGAAGGTGTTTCTCATGGGGTGGAATCTGCCTGCATATTAATACAGAATTATACAAAATCTAGCAGGGATATTGGAACAATGAATAGCTAAACTTTCACAATAACTTAAGATCTGGTGAGTGAGTCTGCATTGAAGATATTCCACATTTTAAAAAGTGCCATCTCTCTCTGTGTGTCTTCCTTCCTCCCGAAGGAGGGGTGATGAATCCACATGATCTGTTATCGGGTAAGTTCAACTGCTTAAGAAGACAAATATCTGGCCAGGTCCAGTGTATTCTTTAAAGAGTGGCAAATTATGACTTCAGTAACTATGTCTGTGCAAAATATGCCTCTTTCCTTTTAAAGAAACCAGTGTCTGTAACTCATTTAGAAAAGTTCCGACACGTACTTATGTCCTTCTCAGAACGAATAAAACATGAAGTATTGAATCCCCCCAAAACAAGAAATCTGATGAAGCAGAGAAAGTTCTGACCTTCCATTTCCACGTGCAGATCATTAAAAACCAGGACACCTCCTTGGTTTGGTAGCCCTCCTGGGCTGGCGATCAAAAAATTGCTTGGAAATACCATAAACACCCTAGTAATAAAACTCCAACATTAGTAGTAAAAACAGTAGCAGTGTTTACCCTCTGAATCCACGTTTACCTTGCATTCCTCATCAGACCTGTACATTATTTACGGTAAAAAGTCATCATCTGTTGCCTTGACAGTCTTCTTTTAATACACAGTAAATCCATTCATATGCCAAGTACCTTGAACTGTATTCCCATATTACACTGCCCTGTGACTTTGGATCGTTACAGGAGACCCAGCACTCAGAAGGAGACGCTGCAAGAGAGGACGTCGATCTCTGGCAATTAAAAAAAAAAACAAACCCCAACAAACCCCCAACACCCCCCCCCAAAAAAAACAAAACCAAAACCCCCAAAAAAACCCCCCAAAAACAAAACCCCCACAAACAAAAAAAACCCACAACCAAAAAATTCCCATGATTCTCCTTGAAAATCAGCCCCTGTACGATGTACCCTCTTCTGCATTGTAGCAATAGTCTTAAGTCATAAATTAGATTAGTCTTCCATCAAATAACTTAAAAAAAGAAGGAATTGTAGCAGACCAGTTTTGCCTGGCTTGATGCCAGTTAGCAGCCAGTTCATCTAAAGTCCCAGTCACACTGTTCAAAAACTGAGCTAGGAAATCACATGAACGTTGAAAAAAATGATCTTCACATCGATGCAGGATTTTTCCAGGTTGTGGGGGTTCAGGGAGAGGGCAGACCTAGATGGGGCCACGGGTCCTATGAACAGTGAACAGGATATACATCACGACTTGGAGGTGCACCGCGTTCAGGAGATGCCAGCCGTGGTTTGTATTGCACAGGTAAGAAGGAAGCTCCTCCCGACAGTCTGCCACCTGCATTAGTGATCTCTGCACATTGGCAAGTTCACAAATGTGAAAACATTGAATTCTGTCATGATGGAGAAACACAGGAAGATGCCGTAAAGGGAAAGGCACACACACCCTAGCTTCTTATCCAGTTTCCATTTGTTCATGTGGACGCCAAAAACCTACAATAAACACAGAGTAAGCCACCACAGCAGGAACATTTCAAATAAAGCGGTAAATTCCCTTCTCAATTACACGAGCAAGATGACTGCCCCCTCACTGATCACGGTCACTGGAAGCAATCACAATGCAAGTTCTGCAACAAGTGTGCTGAAGAAGTAAATCAGAGCAGCCCCTTCACAGTCATTGAAGCCACGCTGACTTACATCATCTCAAGTCCTGGCCCAAGGGCCTTAAGTTTCTGCAATGAATTTCATTTTAGCAAGAACAATCCCATTTAATTCAATCAAACTTTTTCAAAGGCCAGATTCCTTTTTTCTTCACTCAAAATGCTTCATTTGAGTCAGATGAACTCAAAACGTGCCCCTCTGCATCTCAATCTAGAGTCACACAGTCTAAGGCCGTGCTTGACTTTGCTTAGTTTGCTCCCCCACAAACCTCTGGAAAGATCGTGTCTTGCGTACGAGAAAATTGTGCTGGTGTGCAAGGCACAGGAGGACTCCCTATAGCAGCTGGTCTCAAGATTTGAAAGATGTCACACAAATCCTCTTATCTCTACCTAGCCTGCTCTGCTGGACTTGGGCAGGTCAGGGAACACGAGGCACTGATTGCAACAGAAACACTGTCACCTCCAGGCACTATTTGTTCTGATCTCTGTTGATTTCAGAAGGTTCCTACGTAGGACCAAAGCAAACTGTACAGCATTTTGTCTACCTGTCCAACAGGAGAATGGATCTCACCATACATCAAGGGATCTGCTTCAACTCTAGCATGAAAAATAACTAATGATTACTAATGGATCTCCCGGGCTCCTTCCATGAAACATAAGACAAATGTGAGAGCCATCCTGTGACAGCAACAGCTTCCGCAAAGTGCCAGATTAAGGTCTGGGGAAGTTTACAATAGGAGTGACTGTTCCTATCCCTTAACAACAGACTTTGCAGCCACTATTACAGCTGGAGGTGAGAAAGGAACAGGTGAAGAGAATGTCTATAGAAATCACTCTTTTGGAAATGAAGAAGAAAAGACTATATACATACTGTGACAAAAACAGATGCCAGCAGGAGACCAACAGAATAGATAAGTCCTCTGCTGTTTAACCGAATCTGTAAAAAAAGGAAGTTTATAAAACCGTGTCACAATTTCAACCAACAATATTTCTCTCTGCTGATAGTTCTGTAATCCTAAACTGCTGAGTTGCTAAACACTGGCTTGCAATCTGTAAATGCCAAGTCAGACCATTACATCACAAATTATTTTGCCTACTCCCTATTGCCAAAGAATAAGCAGCATTATTAGAGTAGCATCCTTAGCACCTGACAGCACTTCAAACTGTTCCACCCCCACATGGACTTTGTCACCCCTTATACTGTTATATCATGAAATTTCCTTTTTGGCAATTAATTCCTATGTGAGTCCTGTAAGAACAAACAATGAAAAGGAAATTTTGCATTCAGTCACCAATTAATGCTTCACAGTGGGGGAAAATAAACAAGGACACACACAAACATGTAACTTCCTCCCTGCTCTTAACTCATCTCAGTGAAGGAAACAAGTCAGTAATCTCATGTCCTGAACTTCAGCTGCTGAAAATCATCGATATCACTGCATCATGGCACACTAGCGCAGAGTCAAATAAGGCAAAGAAAAGACTTATTTCCTGCAGGGCTGTGTAGAGGTATCGTCACTAAGGTACCCAGGCGCATCAGTGGCCCTGATGTAGCTGTCTCCACGGCAAAGTTACAGTTACATCCAGTGTGCAAGTGGAGAACCAAGATACAGGTGCTCAAAGCTCTGGAGCTATTTATTTGCCATTTTTAGAGGCTTTGGAGTCTAACCAAAGGCACTCACCTGTATCTTTAAGCCCTAAATACATTTAAAAACATGATTTTATGTGACATAAACCTAAAGCTACGTAGGAAGGCTACAGGGAATAAAGCCACCTCTCCAATCCTGTTCCTCAGCTAGGATCGCACTTCTCGGTTTCCCATTCTTCTCTTGGGAAGCTTAATCATTGCCCCTTTGGGCGGTTTTATACGACCTTCTCAAGCAGTATCACCTGCAGTATCGTCAAGGGAGCAGTTAGGTGGAGTCTCTCAAGGCATTTCTGCAGGGGTTACCGTGCGAGGAAGGCAGACTTCCTCCTAGTGAAGGCTGGCTTCAGGGAAGCAGCAGGGCAGCTGGAAGCTGTGGGCCAGGTTCCTCGAGTGACTGAACCATAAATCTTTAGACCACCTAATATCAATTATTATCTTAAGGCCATCATAAGGTAACACAGCCCACTGTATTCCTCCCTGCTCCTTCTGTGCAATGCAACCCTACGCAAAGTTGAGTTTCAACTGACGCTCACCAAAACTGATTACTATTTAAAGTAGTAACCAACTATTTAAGTTTCCTGGCAGAGATCAATCTTAGCAAGAAATTATGTACGAGTATTTCTCAAGGATGCTTTAGAAAAGGACGTTGCTATTGTTTGTCTAGTAGACTTTGACTTTGTGCAGTGAAGGTGTATTTTCAGTCACACCACTCGGCTGCTGAGGTCAAACAGCAAAACTAAAAGCAGTAATCTTCCTTAAATGGGCTGGTAGCCAGTTCTTAATTGCTCAGTTTGTTCTACATTTGTACACGAGGAAAAGCAAAAACATTAGTCCATTCCTGCAAATGATCTGCAGACAAGAAAATAGTTCCCAGAATGAAAGTTTTTCTCTAACAGCTGGATTTATTTCTCAGGGTTTTGAACTGGTTTTAGTCCAATAAACAATTCAACTAAACTTTTATGCTATAATATTATTTTCTCAACTGTCAACACAGAAAACAATGGTACATAGTATATCACTGGCCACTCTTCAGTGCTCGCATCCTTCCAGTTAGACTATAAAGAAGCCCCTTCACAAGAGAAGTGGGTTCTGCTAATTTGATAACAAGGAGCACTACAATTTCATGAATGCAAGTCTGCTGAGGCACATGTAGCATTTTGCATCACAGTCAGGAAAAACTTCTCACCTACATGTTGCTCCCAAATCCAGAGTAGTGATTTAGCTTCATTCCCCAAGGACAACTGAGGGGAGGGTCTGACTTTCAGAGTCAAGGAAAGGATTATCGGTTCCTACATTTTGCAAACTCAAGCCTGCAATGAACTCCATACACCCAGGATCCTCTATCCAAATCCACATTGGAGACAAGTTCGAGCATGCTGCACAAAGACAGTCCTGGAAGGATTTCTCTCTTTTCTCCTGTATGTGCTCAAGATTCAGCACAACGACGCACTGCTGTACTTCTAATAAACCGTGATAAGCATGAATAGGTCTTGCACAGCTACTATACACTGGAATTGTCATAGCATTTGTACTCACAAGCGTGCCACCAATTTGCAGAGCTCTGCTGCTGCCTGAGATTTGCTGTTATCTTCATGTATGTTAAAATACTGGCTTACACAAATGGCACATTTTCCTTCTTCACCCATTTTTGCCATCATAAAAAAGGCTACAGCCATGACGATCATTTATTCTTAAAGGTATTACAGGATTCTTTAAAACATAGACTGTAAGTGTATGCATGTACAGCAGGACCATTATATTCCTATGGCCATTACATGTAAAATACAATATCCTCACTAGACTGACTGTCCAAAAGAATGAAGGATTTGGATTGCTTCAGAGTGTGAAGGCCAACTTTGGGACTGTCTGCATAACTGAAGGTGAAAAATGTAATGATCTCACTGTTAACATAAACTGCAGGTTCTAAGTGGCAGACAGGAGGAAGTGTATTTTTGCGGCTATGGAAGCAGTCTCTAAGGCCACTGCAGCTTCTATTACCAGTCCCAAGCAAACCTCAAAGTTTTGCTGAAACAAGAGCTGCTCTTGGGATGAGACACAACATCAGGTTCTAACCCAGAAGACCTTTTTCTTTGATACTCTACAGCATATTCCCCATTACACTAAGGAGCCAGGACAAGCTAATCTGGGGGCTCTGTGCGCACATTACGTCACTCCCACGTATCCACTCCTCTTCTGCTTCCACTAATCTGAACGGTCCATACCTGACAGCTAACCTGGATTTCCATTTTAGTTATTCTTAAATGCAAAAAAAACCAAACCCCAAACCCTAAACTAACTTTGTGTAACTAAAATACAGATGTAAAGCCACCTTCTCTGCTACCCCAAATGAGCAGCAGCTGGCTAGGAAAGACAGATACTATTTTACAATAAATTCCTGTCTGGATTTTGGTCAGGAATTCTGTTCGACCAGTGCCAATATCTGTAAAAACTCTCAGTGTGAAATACATCAATCAGAAAAGAATCTACAGGAAAAGGAAGCAAATGAAGCAGCTGGGAATATTTTAGCATGGAAAATGTCTGAATTCAACCTAAAGTGCAGACGCTGCTTCTCAGTTACATCATTAGCCTCCATAAAACCAGCAGACATTTGGAAAGATGACCACTCCAAAGGCCTCTCTGTCTGATTTGCTGAGGACAGTGCTTCCAAAGAGGGGCTGCTTTCTTTGGACTATCTACAAGGCTCCTCTGGAGGTCATTCAGGGGAATAAAAGTTGCTATTAAGGATTATTAAAATGTAGAAAGTACACGCTAATTATTTATGACAGGTTTATGAATATAACAGTAATACACGTCATGCTGATCTCACATGAGCAAAGCAAACGTGGCAACCCCTTCAGCAGCGTGAGCACCAATTTTCCCTCGCAGCGGTATTGCATTAGAACACTTGAGTTTCACTCCAGGTTAACAGTTCTCAACCTGGGTTTAACTAGCGATGCTCCTGGCCTGGGATCTAGCCCAGCTCCCACTGTTGTGCAAAGCAATTAGCTATTAATTAGCCTAAATAACAAGAACTTTCCTTTACAAGGCTTGACTATCCCTATAGAAAGAGAGGACTTCCTGGGAGAGGTGAAAGTGTGTTTTCTAATGCAGTTTTTACTTTCCACTGCTTTTTGCTCTGAAAAAAATTGGACCATTTATTAGGGTCATCACTTAATACCTCACTCTGCCATGGGACCGTAGGATTAAAACCCTTCCATGTACACCGCAAAGGGTGAGCAAATGCTAGCTGTGGAATGCGCTTTGTCAGGAAGCTCATTTGACTGAACTGGATACATATCACAGCTGGACTTTCTGGAAGAAAAAGTGCAACTCTTTGGGTAAAAAACCTTGTTGGTGAGCTCAAAGCACTACAAAAGCTGCACAGAATTCCACATGTTTCCACTGTGGCTCAGGAGTTGATGCATGCATGGCATCTCCCTGCCAAGCCGTGGAGCGGGCAGAAAGGGGACAGAAGGGGACAAAGACAACAGGTAAGAAGGGCTATAAAACAATGAGAAGCAAATGAAAAACAACCGAAAGACAGCTGGAACAAACCCACATTGATATAAGCCTGTCCTCAAAGCAGATTTGCCCTGGGACAGCTGGGAGACGGATTCCATGGCTGGGTGCTGGGTGTAATTCTAGATGCACTGGACTTGCAGTATGCGCGCTTTGGAGTTACTCTATGTGCACACAAATAGTCCGATTAATTTGGCTTGCTGCTTATGCACAGAGCAGCTCTGCATGGTGTGTGCAGGGAGGCCAGCTGCATATGATGCATTGCTTGTCTGGCACATGCAGTCAGTCTGACCTCACTAGATTTTTCCCCATGTGGAGAATGGCACACGCTCAGGCACCTTGCCCAGGGGCTCTGGGTTATTTAAGACAGCCTTGGTGCAAGCTGATTTACACCAGTAAGAAACCTCCATCATAGTAGATATGATTCCTGTTTAAGCCTGCTGCCCAGATACTTCTTACTGTAAAGGTTTCTTGGAGTAATACAGTGCTTTGAGATTCTCACAGACTTTATAGCTCACGTTGAGAAGAGAATGAAAGCTGTCTGGGTTTGTCCAGGTCCAAAATGCAACGGTAGTCTGCTCTTTGATGGATGTTTTTTGCTAAATATCCTCACTCCAACAAAGAAAGGTCTCCTTGGAGCAAGAGGAAACTCACTGCCAAGCATCTGGGGGGACTGCAGCCTGAGGACTTGGGAGAGATGTTCTCCAGTAAACCTTGCGCTGGTGGCAGAAGGGGTTTCCAGCGTCAGATCGGCCAGCAGCAACTTCCCT